CAACAATCTTCAACTGCTAATGAAATGTAATTATTTTCTGTTTAGTGTTTACTATTGCTTCTCTGTAGAACTCTTTGTAGTCTTGTCTGTTTATATAACACTGTGTTTGTATGTTTTAAAATGTCATCTTTTCCATTTACTATAGAATAAAAGTATATTTTTATTTTCATTTTAGTGAGCAACAAATTTTAAATATAACATACAAATATATTGGAAATAATATAGAAAATACATATATATATTCTTCAAAACGGCGCCTTGCAAGACTGAAATTAATGTCTTACATGATAATAAAGTATACTTTTAACAGTTTGTTTTTCTTTATTAAGTTGTATAAATTTTAATCCTAAATAATAAAATTAGTACAATATCAATAGATATATTTAAATATAACATATGTACTTATAAAAATACTTATTCTTCAAATGGAAAGTATATAGCTTTTAAACACATAATACAAAAATATCTTAATTATAGAATTACGATAAATTAATTACTGATACTATATCATTTATAAGTCCATTAAGTCCAATATTTTATATTTACAAATCTGAGTATATCACTAAAAACATTCAAATTTGAATTTATATACATACTTACATTTAAATATTTAATCACTGTTTTCTTATCTAAACATGATCCTGTTAACTACCACCTTTCAAAGTTGGGACACCGAGAACTGCATATTTTGTGAAATGCGTACACAAACTTTTGCTCATTATATCTGTTCGTATCCTATAATTGCCAGAAAATGAGTCGAATACCTACAATCGGCTTCAATTTTGTCGAATGAGGCGTGTAATCTTAACACAGATAATATCTCTGAGCTATTTGGTTTGTTCATCATAGTAAAACTCGAGTAACACACAACGCTCTTTACACAGATTTTCAGCTTTGTGTTAAGTCTGGTCGGAACAGCAATGCCGCACAAATAAACAATATAAAAATTTAAATTTAAACCAAAACAGCTGATTTACACATTGATACAAACTTTACTTGAAATAAAATGTACGAATAAAGTGTATATAGCATAATCAAATTTCGACAGGGATGTTACGCTCCTAGATACGCTCATTTACTCGATTTGCTGGTGGAACTCATAGTTACTACGAGTAGCTTGTGAAACAGACCTATTGCTTGCTTAGAAATTACTCTCCAGAAATTACACATCAGATCTAAAACATTATCACTACTGTCCTTTCTAATATTTATAACATATAACAGCGGGTTCCAACCCAATATACTTTTCATTATACATTAGTGTTTGTAATCTTTATAGCCGATCAAATTATATTTATTACAAAAATAGCCGCAATATAAAATCGAACTGTTTTATATTTATAATATTACATATATTTTATATTATTACATATATTTTATATTTGATGTAACTGTATTTTTATACTACCCCAAAAATAATACCTTTTATTGTCGTTATCCAACTTAAAAACTCATAAAAAATCTATCCAGCAGTGACCAAATAGGGAATACAACCCAAACAGTTTGTATAATCAGGGGAATATAGATGTTATTAATATAGATTATGAAATTAGGTGAGATGGGGCAAATATAAATCTGTCAATGATCTAAATTTAAAAAAATTGTAACCTTAATGGGAAAAAGTCACAAATCAGTTGAGCTTTAAGATATATAACTGCATGTGTCTAAAATAGATAGGTTTGTTACTGAAAACATAATATGCAGAACGTGCCTATAAACTGAAATAAGTTAAACAAAAACAGTCGGTCTAAGTAATCCTCTCTATTCTCAGCAACTATTAACCCAGACTTGTTAAGAAATAAATTCCATGGAAAGTAAAATATCAATGAAATTACTCCTTTAACAAGAAGAGCTATTGTCAAGATCGAAAATCATATATAATTCCATTGGAGCAAGAGTTGTATTTATAATACAAAGTAAGGATCAACGAATACAGCATGGTAAAGGAACTTTCCTGCAAAAGCATATACAGTTTGTCAACATTGTGTTTGTTTATTTTATATAAATAAAATAAATTTTTGCTACTTGTAGTTAATTCACATCACTATACCATATACTCTTCTTTGAATTATACAGTTCAATAAAAAATCAATTCTTTTATATATACAAGTTTACCGCGAGTTTAATGAAGTCATTCTTCTAACTCATTTAACAACTTAATTTTTAATTGCTGTACTTACTACTTAATCAATGCCATCTAACGACACTAGTTGCATATCTAATAGGTTAATAGCATTTAGCAGATTCTGTCTGGAATTTCTGAAGAATTTTTCACTTGAATTATTTATGATTATTATGTTCTTTTTCTTCTCTTTCTGTCTTTGTTAAGCTACTATTTTTTTACCATATCTGCATTACACAGATTCCAACAACTTGTACAACATACAAGTATTCCATAATTTTCTAGTTCTACAATTTACCATAAATTGGCATTACTTTTCTTAGATATAATCCAGATTCTTCACAGTTTTGTAATTTGCAGCACATTTATATCACATACGAATTAGTAAAGTATGCAGTACATAATGATAGAAATAGAGTTACCATGTGTTATGAAATTATTATTGAACGTATTATACATATGGTATGTATATATAAATGTATTAATTTTTCCTATGATAAATTTGTTTATTTAGAAAAAAATTATTTTTCTTTTATTAATATATATATATATTTATAATTTTATTTTATATTCTGCTTCGAGAGAAAACTTTTACGTAAAACTTTTTAGCTTCATAAGTGAGGACATGCGATTCTGTTATTGTACGCAAGCTACGTAAAAGCAGACATAAAACTAGGTAGTCCCTGATGAACGAAGCATATAAAACGTAAGAACGTAGAGGTACTCGTTCGGAAATCGTGTTGGACAAATGTAGGTCCGATTTCAGTTATTTAAATTAAGTATATATATAGTAATAGATATAATAGATAGATAGATTAAAAGATAATAGATAGTAATGGATATAGTAATTTTTATATGCATCTATAATTTTGCTAGGTAGAAATTTCTGTGACATTTGTATCTCTGTAAATATTGCAAATGGAATGTTATTTTTTTTCAATTCTTAAATTATTATAATTTTTGTTTTTTTTAATATTGAAATTAATTTAATATTTTATAATCTTGATATCTTAGTATTGCTCTCAGTTTTGTCCTTTGGCGTATGCAGAGTGGGATATGGGTTGGGTATAGGCCTACTTCCAATATAATCTATACATAACACATTGCCAAACGTGTTTTTGGTAGTATATTACTTTCTCTGCCACAATCATAGCTACGCAATTCAGGATATAATATATATGGATAATAAATGCTAGCTTTTGCTAGTAGAAAAAAATTTTATAAGTACTTCATATACAATAATCGTAAATAATTTTCTGCTTATTGTATCTATGTATATATGTTGATGCTTTTTTCGAGTCAGCAACTGGGCACTTTTACTGATAGCTGGGGTACTGCAGGGTCCCACCCATCTCATTGACTAATTTATGTATTCCCTATAAGCTTCATAATTATTCAGTGATTGATCTAAGATCTGCGTACCTCCCCGTGCGGAGAGTGATTACTCTAAGATTAGATAGTGCTAAGAAGGATAGCCTGTCAGTTTTCGCATATTACATAACTTATTGTACGCTTATCGATTTTTGGAAACAGAAAACAGCCATTTTAAGTAAAGTTAAATAATTTCGAGGAGCTTTCGGAACAAAGTTATCTACGCAGCCCAGACAAGATCTAACTGTACTACCTACAAAGACAATCAATTATCTAATTGGAATCGAAAATGTAGCATCAATACCATTCAAAAGTATTAATAGATCTCATAAACTGATTTTACCAACCACATCCTACTGATTATAATACGTGTATCTACAGTGAAAACTCTAATAAATGTATGAATGCATCACAAAATCAGCGATTTTATCCGTTTAAGATAACTATCTAACTAAAAAAAACTACATTAAATCAAAAATTAATTCGTTGAAAAATATATGCTATGTAATATATGTTTACGATTAGAAAGAATACCCCAGTAACCCGCCTAGACTAACTGTTTTTACTTAACAATTTTTAAACTTATATATAAAGTGAAGACTCGAACGAGAACAACAATTTTGTCTGCTTGTAAGAACTATTAATTTAGAAGAATGTATTTCATATGATATATGAGAATAGGGAACTAGCAACATTGTACTTTTAAGAGAAATATCAATTGTTGAGAGTGTGAGTTTAATAAAGTTTTCACTGTATAATTCCTACTTATGTAGAAAATCTAAAAATATTAACTGAATTCAAAAACTTATTTATTAAATCTTGCATTTCAAAGTAAATTTAAAAAAAAAACGCTAATTTTAATTACAACAATCTAATTTATTCTCATTCAGTAGATAATTAGTACCCTATTAGACTCTGAAGACCTTTGGATAAGTGCAAAAAGTTTTAATTGATTCAAACCTGACACGAAATTCGCAGGAAGAATTGGTTGGGTTCGTCTTAAGAAAGTAGCGTGCTCCGCAACTTAATCTGACTTCCTGCACTTTTTATTTAATTTCTAATTGCAATTTAATTGTCAACAGTACTTCAACAAAAAAAAAAATATTAAAAAAAAAAAACAAGAATAAGAACAAGAACAGCAAAAACGATGACTCTGACTCTGAAAATAATTAAAATGTAAAAAGTGGAGCAAACTGTGTTGCTCGCACTGTTGTCTTCTTATTGCAGAAAAGTAGTTGCAAAAGTAGATACTTAAAGAGATACTTTTGAGGTTTGATTGTAAACTGTGCTATCTACGCTGCATTGCAAGAAAACTAAACTTGTAAGACAATAATGATTCTCCTTATAACGTCTGAAGCCGTATTGATTGTTGATTTGTAAATAATTTGTTGGTACTCGTAATTAAGTTTGTTGCAAAAATACTTATTAAACCCTTTACTATGTTATCTTCTTAGTAAATTAAGTATTCTATTAATTTGCATATTCTTCTTCTTGTTCTCAATTCTAGTAAAATTTACATATACAATTTGAGAAATGGCAATCGGAAATCCAGAAGCTGACGTTGGTAATGTGGATGCCGCTGCTGCTCATTTGGCGGCACATCCATCAGGTATACCACAGGATCAAATAGATAATATAATGAGCGGCATTGCGAATACGGGCGATGTTAAAATGAACAATCACAGAAAAAAACTTAGACAGAGGTAAATAAATTTCAATTCCCATTAAGAAGTGTTGTTCATAAAATTATATTAAATCTTATAGATTTGATATTATAAAGAAACTGGGGCAGGGTACATACGGTAAGGTGCAATTAGGTATTAATAAAGAAACTGGTCAAGAGGTTGCTATTAAGACAATAAAAAAATGTAAAATTGAAGCAGAAGCAGATTTAGTTCGCATACGACGGGAGGTGCAAATTATGAGCTCAGTGCAGCATCCAAATATTATTCACATATATGAAGGTAATTTATGTGAATATTTGCCTCTTACTTAAAACTTATTTATTTTATTCATTAAAGTATTTGAAAATCGTGAAAAAATGGTTTTAGTCATGGAATTTGCCGCTGGCGGTGAACTTTATGATTATCTATCCGAAAGAAAGGTGCTAAGTGAGGATGAAGCGCGGCGTATATTTCGTCAGGTTGCTACCGCTGTTTATTACTGTCACAAACACAAAATCTGTCATCGTGATTTAAAACTTGAAAACATTCTCTTAGATGAGCATGGCAATGCTAAAGTAATTAACTCTAATAACCATTAATTTAAAATTTGTATTTATGTTTTTTATTCTTTTGTTTTTAATTTTTGGTTTTTTTTTTTTGTTTTACGTAGATTGCAGATTTTGGTCTTTCAAATGTTTTTGATGATCAGCGACTTTTAGCAACATTTTGTGGTTCTCCATTATATGCTTCACCTGAAATTGTTGAAGGTACTCCTTATCAGGGGCCAGAAGTTGACTGCTGGTCACTTGGTGTGCTCCTTTACACTCTAGTCTATGGTTCAATGCCATTTGATGGCTCTAATTTTAAAAGACTGGTTAAACAAATTAGCCAAGGCGATTATTATGAACCGAAAAAGCCATCAAGTGCCTCTACGCTTATACGTGATATGTTAACTGTTTGCCCACGCAAACGTGCAACTATTGAACAAATATGTTCACATTGGTGGGTAAATCAAAGTGATAATGTATCATGTTTAGATTTAGCTGAGGACTTGGCGAATCAAACTCCAGTTCGTTTAGATGTTTTACTTTCTTTAACACCAGCTGCTGTTACAGCTGAACAATTGGTTGTGCCATCCGCCGATGGTAATTCAGCGGGCAAAGGTAATGAACGTGTTCCCAGAAGTCATTCTGTGGGTTCAATACGTGATATGGGCGCTAATACGGAAGCTGAACGAAGAATATTAGACATGGTTGCTGGTAAGTTATAAATTTTATTTATATTTTTGTAAATAGAACTTGGCTTGACATTTTATAAAAAGCAGAACTATCAAAAACATAAACTATATTATAACCATAAAAAACATTCAAAGATAAAGTTCAGAATTAGAAGTAAAATTAAATCAGAAATCGGTTAAAAAACTTTAAAAAAATAGTGTAGTAGAACTTAAAATTAATAAATGAAGTTACAGACATATTAATATTTAATATTTAAAATTACAAAAATATTTATACAATTTTTATAACAATTTCAATCCACCATTTTGCAAAAAGAACGGTCGGGTCTATGTCCCGAAGTCACTCGTCACCTACGACGACCAAGTACCGTTCAACACCGCCCAAAGAGACTCCGCAAGCAGGTCCCGGCGGGTTATAACAACAACAACCATTTTGCAAACGATGATAATACAACGGAAGTGTGAACTTGGGTATAACTGTGCAATTAGATAAAATAAAGAAGTGATTCTATGACTAAGACTTCAAGTCTCGAATTCATCTTAAATATATTAAACTACATTTTTAATACTTTCGGTAAAATTTAGAAATGCTGAGTTAAAGTTAGTTTCAAATTATACCTTAGTTTCAAATTATATTTATATATAATGAAAAAAAAAAAAGAAATGAAAGTAAAGTTCGAACGATCACAATTTCATATAGAAGATTTTTAAGACATAAAATATATTAAAATTTACAAAATGCAAATTAAATAGATATATTAAACATTATTAAACTTTTAATTAATTTATAACAAAACGGTTAAACTCTTTTCTCTCTCGATCTCCCAAATCGACATATCTGAATTCCTCTAACTTCCTGTACATGTACATATGCTTTTGACTGTTGAACAGACAAATACAAATAAACTAAAATTGTTAACCTTTTCATATAACAAATATTCATAACTACATTCCCTTTCTTTTTATTTTTCTCTTTGCCGTTTGATACATCTAGCTGGCGGCGAAGCTGCACTCATGCCATCTCCTACACGCACAATAACACCTGCTCAAAGTCCTGTACAAACAAAACGTAAACTTGAAACCACAATCTCTATGGAGAATGCATCGGCTGCATTAAAGAAAAAAGAAAAACCTGGTAGTGTATCATCAATTGCTGCCGCGGCAGCTGGAACTCTTAACTCGGAAACACCGATGGAAACTGATGAACAACAAATTGAGAATACTGAAGAGACCTTACCACCGACTGTGAAAACGACACCTTCAAAAACATTTTCTCAAAAAGATATGGAAGCAGTAGGTAATATGGTGGAACAGTTAATACAAAATGATGAACCTCATAGCACAACAGTACCTGCTACTGATTTTGTTCCAAATCCCTCACCGGTAGTATCACGTCAAAGAACTGTAGGAAAATTAGATGCTGTTAAAGAAGCACCAGAAGAAAAAGATGCTACAAAAGTTATTAAAAAATTCGTCAATAAGCACAAAACAGCTGATTTGGTTAATGCGATAGGTCAAATGTCCGCTGATAAGACAAGTAATGAACAGCCCGCAAAAATTACTAAACCAACTGTACCCACCACTGTCCCACCATTTGTACGTAAATGTAGTTTACAGGATGAATCACCATTAAATAAATTCAACGAACGACGGAAATCACGTATTTTGGAAACAGCAGAAAAGTTTCAACAAATGAATGCTGGCAATGCTGGTGATAAGCCCAAAAAACTTGTTATACCCGGTGTTAGTGTTGGTAGTTATAAAAAGGAATTCGAAAGAAAGGCATTGAATCCTCCACAACAAACAGAAGGTCCTACAGCTGGAGAAAGGCGTGCTTTAGAACAAGTAGCTGCAGCCGCAGCAGCTGCTCAAGAATTAGAAAGTACAGCTGATAAAACAGAGAATGAAATGTCATCTACGGTAGAAACAAGTGACTCTAAAAATTCTGTGTCATCATTGTTATTGGATGATGCACGTCGTTCAATGGAAAATTCGATTGCATTATTGCGTCAAGCGCAAAACGAATCTACAAAAGAGGTTGATCAAATATGTGCCAAAACGGAAAAGATCGGTGTCAATGATATCCCAACTGATCATGTAGCAGCCGAAAGAGAACGTAAACTTAAAAATGCTCGTGCCATAATAGGAAATGCTATACAGCCAGGTTAGTGTTTTTATAAAGCTATATTTAATTTCCTTATTTCTTTAGTATAATTTAATAGAATAGTTAATATGTTATATATTAATACATATGTAAAATAAGATATTATTGGTAAAGATGTAGAGAGTGATTTTAGAGAGAGTAATTTAGCCAGCTAAAAAATATAAATATTTCAAAATGCAAATAACAATGAAGAAATCTAAATTATATAGCTAAAAATAAGACTTTATATTTTATTAATCATTTTTTAATATTTTATAATGTTAAAAAGTCTGACAGAATATTAAAGTGCTTACTCTTTCAAGCAGCAAAAGAAAAAATTAACCAAATCTTCAAATGATCATAAAACTGCAACCCAAGTCGAGTCAAAAACAGCTGAGTCTACGTTCCGAAGCCACTGTTATTGTTGCTCTAATCCGAAAAAGGTCGGTGCTTTTGTCCCTGTCACGAGTGGCTATTGGCACTTGGTATTTTGGAAAGACAAGTACTTTCTGAGCATTTGTCGGATCATTTCTGGAACCCGAAGCCTCAACTCTTCCGATTACTAAGTGTCGTTCACCCTTTACTACAGGGAGTCAAACTGAAATCAGATCTGTTTTCTGTGTTTTTAAAATAGTAACAATACCACAACAGACTTAAATAAATATAAAAACTATAGCGTTTATAGGAACTGTTGGTAATAATACCAGTTAGCTGTGGACTTCGTTCACCTATTATTTAACTAAGTGACAAAAAATAATACAAACAATTTATTGTTAAAGATAAACAGATCTGTCAATTAAATTTTGATGTATTTCGTTTTATATACTTTTTAAATATATAGAACAAATTTTTTAAAATAATTATCATTAGCTAGTATTACTTTAAAATTGCTCTCTCCAATAAATTTCTTTACATCATATATCTATATATACTATGTGAATATAATACTATTTAAAAGTTTTTATGACTTGAATTTTATTTCCTGATTTTTATATAATATTTGTTAACAATAATTGGTTTTATATATATTCTGTTGTAATTTTTATTATAATTTTTTATAATTTTCCGTCAGTCTGACCTATAAAATTTCGTTGTTATTTAATCCACTATCTTTACTATTGATGTACCAAAATCAGTGTACTTTTCTGTACACATCTTTCAGACCTATTTGTTTATCACATTGTATAGTCTTAATAAATTTGAATGTACATTATATGTATATGTTAATTATCTTATCGTCTTAAATGTAGACATATAAATGAACTATGTAAAACTATCTAACCATTCCCATATTTATAACACACCACATATCACACTATTGCTGCATATTCATCTCATTTCACCTCATATCATTGATTCATTTATTTTAGCTATACGTCGGCCACCATCGATAGGCCATGGCTTCGGCGGCGGGGGCTACGAACAAATGCGTGCGCCCAGTGGCGGTTTTTATTCATACATTGGTGATAATTATGATATTATAAATAATAATTATAATATGCCTAATAACAATTTAATTGTTACAAAATCAACACCAACCTCACCATTAACATACAATTCGTTACCATTTCAAGGAACGCCATTGCCGCTATCAAAAGCAAACGTTGCCCTCGCCGCAGCAAGGCAAAATATAATGGGACGTTTTGCTGCTGATGGTTTTAATCATAATCATGGTCATAATGCAATCAATCCACATTATTTATCGTGCTCTTCATCCAAGCAATCCACTCTAAACAACAACCCAAATATATTTAATCAACAAAAACAACAACAACATCAAGCCGAACAACCTCATCACCAGCCACAAAAACCAAGTCATCTTAAACCAACCTCATTTGTTGCAAATGTTCCTGTTGCCACCGCCGCCAACGCCACTATCAACATTATAAATAATGTGCCAAAACCGTTTTACAATACATCTCCAACGACCACGACGACGATGTTGTGGAAATGTAAGTTTAGTTGTCGTTCGTTCGTTCGTTCTTTCGTTAGTTGGATTATATTGTTTAAGTGCATTTAATATATTTAAGTATATTACAATAATAATAATAATTATTTGTATTTTGTTGCTTCGTTGTTGTTGAAAATTAATTGTAGTAGCTGCAAGCTTTCCTTCCACTTAAGCATTTATATACCAAAGTTATCTAAGAAGAGAGCTCTCTATTCTTCGAATTGTTTTCTTGAAAGGTGAATGGAACCATACAAGAGTTCTTTTACGAACAATTTTTACATTATTATTGTAATATTGTTGAAAAAAAAAACGTGATAGATTTTTGGGCTAAGAACTTGTATAGTACCGAACAGCTTCGACAACTTTTGGTTCTAAAGTTCAAACTGTTTGGAAACTGTCCTAATTCTTTAGGCTTAACTTTTTGTTTTGAATTTTTTCTTCTAAAATTTTAATTATATTAATTTATTTTTTTATTTGTTATAAACAATTTACAATTTTTTTATTATTTTACTGTATTTTTTTAATTGTATTTATTTTAACAATAACAAAAAGGTAAGATTTAAAACGTATATATTTTTTTGGAAGGTGGTCACTTCTCATCACAAACAAATCACTCACATTTCATATAGCTTCTCAATGTTAAACGTTCACAAACACAATTTTTTGAATACTTTTACTTTTATCACTAAAATTTAATGCAAAAAATAAATTAAATAAAATCTAATTTAAAATTTTTATTTTTTTATTAAAAAAAACTAGCATCACCGGGAGGGGAACCAAATAATGGAGCTGTAAAAACGTCTACAGCTTCAATAACGCTTAAATCAGCTACATTACCTCGGCGTAAAACTGCAAAAACTGAAATACAACTGGAAATTAAACCACGTATTGTTGAACAACCATCAATGCGTTTCACTACCGAAATGCAACATCCAATTGCTGATTTGCGCAGTGCACCACCAAGAGAAGGTCCAGTTCCTTACAGTCCCATTAAAACGGCATTTAATACACGTGCAACTAGTCTAGAACCCAAAGAGCATATTATACCAATACAACGACCACAAACTGCTTATACACGCACCAGTTCTAATACAACTGCGAGGTACGTAATTATTATTTAATTTGTATTGAACTTATTATTGTATTATTATATGCTTACATTCAGATCTGGCTCACTTTCGAGACAATCAACTGTTGACTCAGAATCTGATACTACAACTACCAATGTGTCACAATCGACAATAACTGGTTCTTCACAACCAATCAAGAAAAGCCCACGAGAATTTATTATACCAATTGCTATGGAAGGTGGTGGCTTCATAACACCTCGAGAGGGTAGTATTGAACCATCCGAATCCAGTCATACAACAACATCAAGCCGTTCAACATTTAATCGTTTACGCCCTACACGCCAATTTGGGTATAATTTCAAATGTACAAACCATATATTTATTTAATGAAATAACACATTTTTAGCTCGCTACTAAATGATACCAGTGTTGATGAAGGTCTACCATTCCAAAAGATGCGTACGACTACAATGAATAGAGATGCAGATGAAGATCCAAGATTTACTCTTCATAGACTAAGGTTTGTTAAATTTTTTATCAAAGAAAATTAATGTTAAAGATAAAAAAATAATTTATTTAGTAGTCATACTATAACATTACATATATATATATAAATATATTTTATTGTCGCAATTATATGTTATAATTATATATTATATACTTATTTATTATAATAATAATTATTATATACATTATAATTATGCTTATAATTATAATTATTATAATAATTATATATTAAAATTATATAATTATAATTAGTAATATATTATATATATTATAGTAATATATTATATATGGCTATTATCATATATTATAATTATGTATATAATATTATATTATATGCTATAATTATAATTATGTATATATTATTATATTATATATAATAATTATTATTATGTGCATAATATTTTATTATATATTATTATATATACATTTATAATTATATATATAATATTATATTGCATATAGTATATATATTCACTAGCGCGCCATTTATGGTTGTTTGTGAACTATAAAATGAATAGTCAAATATTAAAATTTTTTAAAATACTTTAAATAAAACCACTATCTTTTAATTATAGAAGTTCGAGACCTGTTAAGAAAATAAGTCAAGATAATGATTCCCAAAGTTCCGGCGAGGAAGACGATGATGACGGCTTTGAAATCTTAACAGCTGAAAATCTTTTCTCTACACTACTGCAAAGAGTATGTTAAGTTTTAGATAATTTATAAGTTAATTTAAGAAATTTACATAAAATTATATATATTATTTATTAATAATTATTGTTAATTATATATTCCTATTAATGTTAAATAATTTTAATGATATCATTAATTATTTTTTAGGTGCGTGCCTTGACAAATCGTATTAACGTCAACAATGACTTAACAGCTGGATTTCCGAACTCAAGTAGATTGTTAAGCAATATGAGGCAAGGACAAAGTCCTTTTTGGAGTCAAGAACCATTTGGCAGGTAAATATGACATTGAAAATTATAATTTAAAAAAAAATTAACTAATTTTTAAAGCAAAATAACAAAATTTGCAATTGCAAGAATACTAAACAATATTTATATTTTTATTTCATGCTGCGTGTGAACACTTAAAAAATATAATACATTATGGAATATTATTTTCACCAATATCATTTATAATAAAAAAAAATGCTGTTATCTCAAATTTAAATAATGCACTAACCTACATGACATCACATACAAATATTAATATAAACTAAATGTTAAAATATTTTTCATGTCATATAAACACGGTGCAATATTTGATTTGATGCTTGTTTTTTAAATTTAAATAAAATAAAATTGAAGATCTCAGATTACATATTCCTATACCGAAACTGTTGAGAAAAAACAAGTGTAAGTACTGTAAGGATCTAACATAACTTTCCACCTAATTTATTTTCTATAATCAACTTTCCAATTCATTCTTCTATTAGATTGTATTTACGCTTAAATTAGCACTTTTGTAAATAATACTTTATTTTTAATTGTTAGTCTCTTTTGATAATTTAGTCTAAAGGGTAGGTTGTTTGTTTTCGAGGTGTGTTTGTGGACGTTAAAATGATTTTTGTACATATGTTATTTAAAAAACCTCTCCAATAGATTTTATGTACTGTTATTGATTACACTTCTTTTAATTAGTTAATAGTTTTTATACGTACATTTCCTTTACAGTATAGACTAACTTATATATATATTGGTATACCTTTTATAGGTGGTTAACTTTTAAGCAACGCTATATACTATGCCACCTAAGCCGCTTTTTGCAATTATTAAAAAATCTAAACATCAAATTAAATTGTTGCTTGTAAGTTTTGAAAAAAAAAAAAAGTAACAACATATTTTATAAATAAATTTAAACAATTAATATAGCCATTTTTATGTAAAAGATCATTTTAATGTGAACAACTACATCAAATAGTACAAATTATAATTCGAGGTTAGGAATATAGTTTTTTCATTCTGATTATTTCTTGCTCTACATGATGTCTAATATATCTAGTAAATATTTTAGAAGAAAGCACAGTAATTTTTTTTGAAGACTACAATTTGAGATACTTACTTTTAATAAATAACTATGAACCTGTTACATTCATATGATGTGTGTTGGATTAAAATAATTATATATGTACGTAAAGTAACCTCATACTTACCGATTTCTGCATTGTCCTTTTAGCAGAAGTGCTTTCTATTCAAAAAGCAGAATATTGGAATCAGAACAGAACATATTTTATCTGACGGATAGATGCGAAAGCATTAAACTCAATGTCGTTAAAGTCTGTCGTTAATTGCAGCAAATTCTTGAATTTTATGACTTAAAAGTTTTACTATTTGGGTCCAACAACAACACAGGGATACAGAGTAAAACTGTATCGCATTTAAACTACACAAAAAATAATTTACCTGACCTGCAAACCTTAGTTAGATATATGTTTCTAAATAAAAATCGTGAATGTTGAAATCGAGAAGAACATGTTCACACACGATCCTATTTTAGTCGAAATAGAGATATAAACAATCACAGGCAATCAGGCTTGTTTTAATGTAACGAAATGAAATTTTATTTTTAATAGCTGTTAACACCCCACGCTATTGAATCGGAACACTGCAATAATTATTATTATATCCAATAAAAGAAATAATAGGAGACTTTTAGAACTTAATTTTATAATATTATAACATATTATATTATAATCTCAAATACTTATGTGGCCCCAAGTAACAACTTTTGGCAAAAGTTTGTTATTTTTGGTGTTTATATCATCTGGTATAACCATGTTCCATTTTATGGTAAGCGTATTGGGATATCATCTCAAAGTTATACTAACGTAATCCCGGGGTAGGACAAGGTCTCTAGGAATGAGGGAGTCACTTTCCGGGTCGCCAGTTTGTGGTCAGTGGGTAGATATTCTACTCCTCCTTGCCGCAAAAAAAGAAGTGTGTTGGGATATCAAATTAAGAAATAGGCGTCTAAGATAACTTGCTTAAAAGACAAGGCTGAACCAAATTTTATAAAAAAAAAATTAGTTTCTCATTCATATGCTACCTGTTTAAATATACTGTTTTCCTATAGTACTTCCCAGCATTTGTAATATTTTCCAAAATCTTATCTATACTCTCATATACCAATATTTAACCCCATGTAAGTTGTTGATTTGTTCCACTTTTCAATTTGCTTATTATTGCAATAATTTAATATAACTATAATAACATATTTATTTGAAATTAATTTTATTTGATTTTCAATTTTTAGATTGTATATAATTGCATATACATATAATATATTATATTTTTCGTTTCTAGTCGCATTAATCAAAGCGGTAACAGTTTGGGCGCACCATGGCGTCACAGTATATCACGTGATTTGGGCAGTGATATGGAGTCAATGTTTTCCCGCACAGGTGCAACTCTGCCAAGAGGTGAATATCACAGATTAAAAAGCAAATTTTTAGAACATTAATTGTTTAATTAGAAAAAATTTATTAATACATATGTTTAAATATTTAAATGAAAAACAAAACAATAAGCGCAAAAGTTTAATTTAAAAAAAATTAAATGTGCATAAATTAATATCAATTTGCTTCAATAAAATATAATAAAAACAAATTTGCAATGGTTAACAATTTTGAAATTGTTTAAATGATAAAAACAAAAAGTGCTATATTAAATAATTATTTAATTTTATTATAAAATATTGAAAGCAAACAAAAAAAAAAAACTTTTTTATATTGTATTACATTGCAATTATGTTTTTATATTTTCAAAAATATTTACAAACATAAACTTCTGTAAAATCTTTTTAAACTTTAAACTTATATCAATCTATATTTAAATCTTTTTTTTTTTTCAATAATTCAATGCCGCAATTTTTATTTTTTATTTATTGTTTATCATTTTTATAGTATATAAGCTTTTTAGAATATTTTAAAAAAAATTGAAATTATTAAAATTAATTTATTTTTATTTTATTAGTTTGTACCATGAGTTCTCATTATTTTTGTTTGTTTAATTTTGTGTTAAATGTCCTTTTAAAAATCTTAATTTTTCATATAGCAAAAAAAAGAATTATAAAAATACAAAAGAAAAAAAATAATATTAAATCGTATTCAAAGTTTTGTGTAACAATGATTAAAATGAAAAAAGTAACTAGCAATAGAAGTTTTAATATTAATTTTTAAAATTATTTTCAAATTACTTGATTTTAATATTTGTATTAGAGTGTGCAGTGTGTTGTTTACATAAATAAAAATGTTCCAAGTTATTTGTTATGTCAGTGAAGAATTGTAATTTATGTAAAATTTGTATTATTTAACAATGGTAATCTTTGGTACGGAATTGGTCTCATCACTTTGAAATCATCATTTTAAAATTTAGATGGATACATATATAATTCAATCTGTGTGAAGATATCAGATTTCAGACTCCGAATAGACCCACAAACTAATGTTAATACATATATGATTCAATCTGTGTGAAGATATCAGATTTCAGACTCCGAATAGACCCACAAACTTATGTTAATACATATATAATTCAATGTTGGAAGATATCAGATTTCAGACTCCAAATAGACCCACAAACTAATGTTAATTTGTTCCCTAGATTAACTAAATAATAACACAATTATAAATATACTAATTTGAGTGTACCTCAATATAGCTTAGTTTTCGAGATATCAAGTTTAAATTTAAAAATTTTTAAATAAAAACCACCAGCAAAATGAATTTGTTGTTGTAGCCTATGAAGACTATATGAATCGATATATGAAATTGAATAAAAGGGTTAGCATTTGATAGGGTGAGGAAGAAGAACTGTTGTTTTTTGCTCGAAGCCAAAAGACCATTATGCTGAAATTAGTGTATGCATTAGGCCGCGACAACAAGTTGACGGGCCATATGACCTGTTGTTGTTGTACCTTTTGTGAGGAAATTATGTCCAACACATATTTTTTCATTGGTAACCGGCGGAATTACTTAGGAAATTTCAATGGGGCATTCATCGGCGCAATGTATCGATGCATATGTGAAGAACATCGTGATGTTAAGCCAACATGACAGGAAATCACGTTAATAATTCTGGACTTTAAACAACTCGATATCATGAAAAATATGTTATATCAACATATAGTGTAGTAAAAAAAATTATGTAAAATAGCTAGCTCCACTTAAATCCAGCGTAAAATCGATGTCTCATGCATAACACGCCCATAAATTTTATTAACAAATACAAATATTTATAAATCTTTAAAAAAAAATATACTTTTCTTAATATCTATAAATGGATTATCATATGAATTAGTATAATTCGAAACAATTGAGAAGGTTACTTGTGTTTAATAAATTTATTAATTTTCTAAGCAATATCTCAAAGTATTTTAGTCAATCAGTTTAGTTTCTATAAACATTTCAAAAAAGTACAACTAACTGTAGAATCAATGTGTATAAAATCTTTATAAAATATATTTATACCCAATTTATCTATTAAAATTCCATTTAAATAACAAATGCAATAGGTTTTTTTTTGTAACTACTTAACTGAATTGGATTAAGTTTTCAGATATATTTCAGACAAGTACAACTAACTGTAGAACTAATCTCTATAAGAACCTCAAAAAATGTGTATACACCCAAAACTCTACAATAAGGTCCTTTAAATAACAAATGTAATAAAATTTTATTACGGGTTTTTCTTTTAAATTGTGTTAACTTCATACTCTCTTAGAATGTCTTAAAACTCCATATATATATATACAGTCAAACCATAACTCCATAACTCGAACTAAATAGAGTGCAACAGTGCTTAGAAAGCAAATTACATACAATAACAAACAAATTCTATAACTCGAAGGGTCCTTTTTGGACCCTTTGAACCTTTTCTTTGAAAATGGAACTTCGAGTTATGAATTTTTGATTATATATATGTATATATATATTTATATTATGCTCTATGTGCAAATATATATCTCTTAAATGAAATTATTATCAATTCCGTTACCACTGATATTTTTTTTCAATTAATTTGTAACAAAATGTCTTTAAAAATAAAAAAAAAATTTATTAATTCAAATGTTATTAAAAGTTGTAATAAAAAGATCTACTGTAATTAAAAATATTATTTACTTATCCTTTTTTAATTAATTTATCATATGATGAAGCATCAAATCGAATTAAATAAAGATACAACAAAACTGTTTAAAAAATACTGACTTTTATTAAATTTAAGAGTTACAAAGATTAAAAATACGCGTATACAACCAAAAGAATTTATAAATAATTTATTAAATTTTATATTAAAAAAATTGTATATTTTGCAACGGGCCCCGCTACCTTAAATTTGTTTTATAATTTTTTTATTTCTTAAGTTTCTTCTTTTTTTAATTTAAAATTCTAACACATTTATACTAAACATTTGTTGTGTTTTGTTATAAATTTTATTTAGCAAAATTGTAGTATTTTTTTTGCAAAAGCTTTATTTTAATTGTTTTTGTAAAAAGCAATAATTAAATAATAATCACTTAATTTTGTACATATCGATACATAAATAAACAATTTCACACTAATTAATTAACAATTAATTTAATAAAAATTATTGTATTAATTTATATATATATAAAAAAGTATATATATAAATATATTTGAACAAAATTTAAAAATATAAAAACAAATTTCTGAGTTCTGGGCTTTTTTTTAAGCAATATTATAAAATATATTAACTATGTATTATTTTAAAATTCTTTTATTAAGAATTTATTATAATTTTTTTTTAAATTGTGCTTAATTGTAATAATTAAAATTTTATAAAATTTCACTATATATATATTTTAAAAATAAAACAAAAAAATGTCCAAAACTTTGAATACGAAATATGTAAACCTTTTTCTATACTAATTTTAATATGTTTTTTGAATGTTTCTTTCAGTTGTTTTTGTTTTTTTTTTTTAATTGAAATGCAATTATTTTCTTTTAATGCAAATATGTTATATTATGACGTTAATGTTAAGTAAAAATTTTGTATTTATTAAAACAATTCTATTTGTTAACAAACATGAATTTGCGCTTCTTAATGCTTATAAATTTAATTAACTTACAGAGAGAAAAAAAAAACTAATAATTTTAAAAATTTGTCTACCTTTTTATTATTAATTAATAACTATTTATAATTGTTTATTATTTAGTTTTTACTAATTTATTAATTTTATTTAAAAAACGCTTTTTGCAGTTGGCATACGAATTCCTAAAATGCATGTTTTAAATAATAAAAGCAGCCCAACCATTACTACCACAACCAAGATCGAAATCAAACAAAATAATAAAACAGCAACACCTCGTACAACAATTTTATATAACACAAACTTATAACACATCAGTCTCAGTCAACATTATAATATTATTAATCTAAGCTATATTTTTATATAAAATATATACATATATTCTATATAGAATTTACTTTATAATTCGGCATAAGTTATCAACCTTAATTGAACTAGTTTTCTAATTTACATATAATTTTAACAAATTTTTGATATTAAAATTTTCAAATTCATTAATAACGCTCAAATCTTTATTCTGATTTATTAAATGATTATTTACAAAATCATTATATCCACAAAATTAAGTATTTTACATTTTTATTTCATTTATTATTAATAAAAAAAATGTTAACTAATTTTTAGCACCCATAAAATTAATTTAAATAATAAATATTAATAATTAATTATTTAGAATAGCCTAAAAATAATCATGTAATCGTAACAATATTAATTGAAATAATAATGACTGTAGTATATAAATAGAAATAATATTATTAACTTTTAAAATTAACAATAGTATTGTTTTATAATAAATATAAAATTGTAATGAAAGCAATAAAAATCATAATAAACTATAATAAAATTAAAAACATCTATAAAAATAATAAAAAAGATTAATATATATATTAAAAATATAATGCAAAATGATGTATAACGAAAGTTGGTATAAAAATGAACTTAAAGAAAATTTAAAACATAATTATAAAAAATATAGTATAAAATATAGAATATTCGCTATTTCAAACCCTTCAATAATAAAATAAAAAGCTAGAGTAAAACTTTATGACTTCCATTCACTGGAATATCGAAACCAATAGCAAAACAGCTGAATTTGGCAGAGGGATTCCGTCAAAAGCTCGTGCGAAATATCTAAAGGATCTGAATGTACCAATTACTTCATGCAAACAATTTTTAAAGTTTTACTAGATGGCAAGGTTTAATGATATATACTACAGATATTTACACCCAAATTGGCTACTCTTATATAAGAAAAAATCTATCGAACACGTCTCTTAAAATCATCAGTGTTATAGTGTGTGTATGACCGGTGGATTAAAAAATTATACTAGGAAAGAATATCTTCTATCTTCGAGTGATTCTCTTTCCACAGCTGTGAGAAGAACAGTACACAATATAAACTTCGTCACTATCCAGTGAATGGTGACGTAAATTAAACATGATAGGGGCTCACTTTGTATAGAATCAAGACCTCCCCTTGAATAGCACCCTAAGTTTAAATAAAGATTTCAGCTGGTTTTGAACTCATCGAGTTTTTAACACTTTTTGCCTTAAGGCCGATATAGTTCTAATATTGAAAAGTAACATATGTTAAACTGATTTTTAAAATTTATTGAGGTATTTACTCTCCTCTGGTTGTACTCCACTTCTGTATATTACAAACTGAAAGATCTTTTCCGGAAAACTTTGATGCTCTTACTGTATACTTCTGACATTACTCGATTGGATTATTATTTATTCCGAGTTCGACAGCCTTCGCTTACTGGCATAAACTTAACCTTAGAAGAGTTCTATGAATGGAATAATGTTTCTAGTCAAATAATGATGGTCGGAAGAAGTAGAATTTGAATGATTTCAATTTTGACTACATAAATATATTAATGTCTTTTAATTCAGAAAATTTCTGAGATTTGGATAGCATATAAATGGATTAAAACTGTATATAAAAAGTAATTAATAAACAATAATGACACCAGTTGCAAAGGTATTTTAAAAAAAGTTTCCTTATAATATTAAAAATATTATAATTACTTCCCAAAATAAAATAAATTTAGATATATTACTATATATGTTAATAAACATAAAACTATCCTCCAAAAAAAAAATAAATATAATAATTATAATATAATATTATAATTTATAAAAGTTAAAAATATATTATTATAAACATGTAAGCATCAAGTAAATAATAATAAAATAAATAATATATGAAATAAACTTCAAATAAAAAATATAACGGACAAATTAATCGTAAAAGTATTGCTATAAATATTATAAAGAAAAATAAATAATTTCTTATTATAATATATAGTTTTATATAAGAAAAATGCAAACACACAAATAATGAATAATGTTTATAATGAATAATGAAGTAATATTATTTTTTTCAAAAATATTTGATAAGGTTTATTTTTATTTAAAAGAAAATTATATATAACGAAATATTATATATTCTTTAATATTTTCAATCTTTTTAATTGAAAATTTTTAATTTTAATTAATTATTTGATTCATTGATTTTCACAAATTCATAAAAATGTTTTCTCTGATCGTCGCAATAATAAACTAAGTAATTAAAAAATTTATTAATTATTATTTATTAAAGTTCTATAAAAATTATTCCGGTTCACGAATTTGAACTATTTTAGTTACTGAATAAAATTAACTTTATAATTATTGATATATGGCAATTTTTATGTATTTTTAAAACTTCTATAGTATTATACTTAATTAGAATTTTAAATAATTAAATTTGTTATAACTGCTTTTGTTTAAACTTATAATAAATTTATTAAGTCAGTTAATATTGAAGTATGCCCGTAATCATATATGCAAACATATAAAAAATTTTTATCAAATATAAAATTCTTTCATTGTAATGCCTCATATTTCTTTTAAATTAAATGATTATTTAAATGATTATTGGACAATTCTAACAAAGTATTTATTTATTTAGTATTTCTTTCACACATTTCATTCAAAAAAAAAAACAAAAATATTTTTAAATACTTTTGAACCTTATCAAAAATTTTTGAAAAATTATTTAAAAAATTTTAGAAGTGCAAAATATTAGATTTTTTATTGTATTTAATATTATAATTATTTTTATATTTTGAAATAATTATGTTTAAAAAAAAATAAATAATATTATTATTTTTTCTTTATTGCATAAAAATCATATCATATTTTAAATTGTTAACATAATTTTTTTTTTTAAATTTGTGAGCAATAATATTTTTATAATGTATTTATTATGCTACATTTATATAAAAACCAAAAATATATTTTTTCATAAATACTTTGAAAAGTATAAAAACAAATAAAATATTTAATTATAATTCAAAAATTTTAACAATATTATTTGTTTTCTTGTTTGTTGTTCCTAATTGTTGCTATTGCTGCACGTAAGTTAATAATTTTGTTAACATTGAAAAAACTTAAACAATTTTTTTTTAAATAAAAAATATTTTTTAATTAACTTTTTATGAATTAATTTTTTTTTTTGGTCTGTATCACTGTTGTTGTATAAATAATTTGTCCAATAACAAAATACAAACAATTTTAAAATAATTTATTTTAAAAAAGCAATAACAAATTGTTGCCTACAAAATATTAGCGTACAAAATTCTTTTGGTTGTTTTTGGATTTAATTCCATACATTTAAATAATAGAAATTATAATAGTCAATAAATTATTATAAAGAAGTTTCTTAAAATTAAAAGGTAAGTAATACGTAGTAAGTTTCATTCGATATATACGATGATAACTTGTAACTCCAATCTTATTCAAAAAATTCTATGCTTATTAGTTGGTTGGTCAGATTAGGAGATGGTCTTAAACTGTGAGGCCACTAAATGATTTTTGAATAGAGCTCGACTGATTCCAGTCTTTAGAACTTGATATGCACAAAGAAAATAAAAAATAGTTTTCTCTTCTTCTCGCTAGCTGCGATTATGACTCTCTAATATATGAATATGAGGCTCTCTAATAGACTATAAGCTAGTAATGACTGTGGTCAGTCTAGAGACAACTCTTCTTTTTCTGCTTATCAGCATTAATGCTTGCTTAAGTTTGCATCTTTCATTTTTCGCTTTTTGAAGGTATTTGATTTGAATACCACTTTTATCCACATTCAGTAGTGTGACAAACAATTATCGAAGAGCTTCTCTTATGACAGATTCTCAATATTCCGTTAACGCCCCGGGTTAGATTACAGAAAATCATGTTCTCACATAGCAGATTCTCTTCGTATTAGTTGATGAACTAACTTTTTTGTTTTTCCGGATAAGAGAAACTTTTGCTCATCATTCTACGTAAATATGTTCCATCTGGTGTGTGCCACTAAATTAGAGTTTTTGATTGCTGAATTTAAAACTTGAATTGCGATCTGATTATACGATTAAATATCGATCATTTATTTTTGTATGTGTGTTCTGCGGTTAGGAGGGGCCATGTCAACAACACAAACACTTTCGAACACTTTCGAAAAAACTGGACGATTTGGGGCAATGTTTTTATAAACAATTTTAAAAGTAACTATTAAAAATAATAAAAACAATTAATTGATTAAATGGGTAATAATTTTAATAGTGGGAAAATCTTTTCAATAAAAAAATTAGAATATAACTTTTTTGAATAATATCGTAAAAACAAAATGTATTAAAATTTAAAAATATTTTACAAAATTAGAAAAATTCTTATATAAAAACTTAAGGAAGAGATATCCGATTAAATTTTATATCGACTGTTTGCATATTTTTCCGTTTTTTATCTTCCGCTACAAATAGGTATAGTTTATGTGAACTAATAGTATCTTTATTTACATATTTTATTAGACTTAATGTATAAGTTGTTCGTTTTAATGGTAAGTACTCCTTATTTGAATAATTTTGTAAGAATAATATAATTTATTTTTATATATTTCAAGAAGTACATATATAATTAAATATATTAAGAACCCAAAGGCACAAATAAAACTAATGAATATATTATTCTTCAGATAAAACATTAGCGTGTTAAATTTTTTATATTTTAGGTAGCAAAGCAACAACTGTGAAAGATTCAGATTTCACGGACAATGGAACAAATCGAACACGAACAAAAAAACAAGTGGTACACACAGAAGAACCAGTTGACTTAGCCGATTTAGATTTATCACGACTTCAGCTAAGTAAACAAGATCTGGAAACACTATCAAGTATAACACCAGGCTTACCGAAATGTTTTCAAGAACAACTTCTTGCAAAACTACCACCTACACAAGCACGGAAACTTTCCCGTACACTAAGCATGCAAAATAGTCCATTAATATCCACTGTAAAAATATATAAACGCAGTCAAAGTGGTGGACGTGGTGTGACATTGCCAAATGAAGTTAAAGAAAATGTCATTGAAGAGAACATGAAACCAACGAGTACAAAAATAGCATCAAAAGCTCAAGTGAATGATGAAAATCAAATTGGTGATACAAATACTCAAATAAGACGTCGTAGTATAGGACGTTCTCGACTCGATTGTGAAAGCGGTATACCCACACCTAACGAAACAGCAAATACTATGAAAAGTCGTAGCAATAGCGTCTGTCGAGATGATTATAGTAAATCTCTATGCACTTCATATACTAGTGACATTAATGATAAATATAAATACTATTCACCATATTTAAATAAAAGTGTTAAAGATTCCTCGTCAACCACTTCTACAAACACTTCGTCATTAGGGCGTCCACCAAGCGGTTGCATGTCTCCTCCTCCAGTTATAACGACTGATATTGGTACCAGCTCACTACGTAAACGTTCTACACAACGTCGTTCTCGTTTTCTACGACCTGATTTCTTCGAAGAGCCAGTTACAACACAAGTCGAGGAAACACCATACCAACGAGAGAAGAAATTACGCGAACGTGAAACACAAAGTGTTTTACGTGAAATTCGTGAAAAATCTCGTGAATCCAGCAGAGATCGCCTTAGTAATTATGAGTGTGATGAGATAATGCAACGAAAGCACAGCGTTCCTAATGAATCTCAAGATATTAGTGAGAAACAAGGTACTCGCCATGTGCGTAATAAAAGTATGGAAATGTATACAGAATGCGGAGAGAACTCATTACTGCATGACAAAACTAAACGGCATCGTAGAAGCCTTTCACGTCCACGAGATATAACGTCAGAAATGGATAAACATGAATTGGCAGATAAAATATTGCAAGAATTACAACTACTTTCCGCTGTACGTTCCCATAATGAACCTCGCCTTTCTGTTCCGCGAGAAGTATCAGTGGAAAAAGTTATTGATATTAACCCAAACAATGGTATAACTGAAAATACAGAACAACAATACAATAACGAAGAAATTAATAAGGAAAAGATTACTACTATAAAGAAGGTTAAAAAAGTAAAACCTAAAGAAAAATCTACAGAATCTACAAGCACAGACGCTGATAGTAGAATTACTACAACTGTAATCAAAAAAGTTAAAAAAATTGTAAAAAAATCAGATAGCATAAAAACTCCTGCTACCGAAGGAACTGCAAATATGCCATTAACAGAAGAATCAAATATACCAATAACTGAATTGGAACAATTGAAAAAAGAATCTAAACTAAAGCGTCCGAAATCTTATCCAACCAAAGATACAAATCAAACAGTCACTACTAAGTCTGAAGTTCCTTCATCGACTCCACAAACTACTAAATTAGAAATAAAGAAATCAGTTCCACCAACAACTAATGCTGATATAACTAACGCTATATCAAATGTCAATAACACCAATAATAATAACTGTCTTACTCCACGTGAAAGTCGACTAATTCGACCAAAAAGTTACCCTGCCTCTAAACTAACACCTCCTAAAGTGACGAAGCAAGTGACTCGCAGTGGCATTGCTATACCTACTATCAACGAGTCCAGTGCAAGTACAACACCAAAATCAAGTAGTATATCTAGGCAATCTACCTGTGAGGATAAGTCATTTTCTGTAACACCAACTGGTAAAAGTAGCATCGATAGCTCTTCCTCCAGTGAATCAAAACCAACAACAATTAAGAAAATCATTAAAGTAACTAAAAAGTCTAAATTAGCACAACCTACACCGCTCTCACCTACCACTCCGACAGCAATAACAGCAATGACAAATGCTGCTAGTTCTAAGGAATCAAGTCCTGTTACTGTGTTACAAGTGAAAGAGAAATCTCCTGAGAAAAAGCAAAGCAAAGGTCTCTTTTATGCTATTGGGCAAAAGTTTGAAAAACTTCGAGACTCTGCCATGAGCAAAGAGAAGAAATCCACTTCGAATTTACCAACAAATACTTCCGATAAAAAACTGTCTTCAACAAGTTCTTCTCCAGAGAAAATAAAAGAAAAATTAACGCTAACTAAGAAAAAACATAAACCCCTCGAAAATGATATTTCTACAAAGACTGATAAATTACATACTGATGTTAATAGTCATAATGATATCGAAACGTCGAAGAACAACAACGTATCAAATGACACATCCGAGAAACCACTAAAAACGGAGAAGCGATCACGCATAGATGCTATGATAAGATCACTACGTGAACGCTCTGTTCCTCGTTCAAATCCAAATACTGGCACTGAATCTAATTATCTTAAACGTGCAGTAAGTGTTGAGGATATGCCTGGTACGTTCAATAAGAATACTGTTAATAAAGTTCTTGGTCTTTTTAAACGATTTGAAAAAGATGGTAGTGACCGCAGAGTACGGAATACACGTTCAACAAGTAATATAGAAAGACAATTACGCGAACAATCACCTCCAACATCACCAATTTATCAAAACACAAATGCACTACTTGAAAGTGCACAGCCAATCCATAATAAACCCCAGACATCGAATTTAAGTTCAGCTAACGTTAGCAAATCGAAACAAAATATTGAACAATGTTGTAATTGTGAATTAACACCTCCAACAACAACTTCTCTTTCTCAGCATATATCTTGCCCAGAATGTATACAGGATCAAGCAACTAATTTAAGATCAACAAAACGTTATGAAGAACCTATAAAATCTACTGACTTTGACTGCAGTTCATACAATAAGCTTCAAGCACAGGGCAATAAAGATAAGCGAAAGGGTCTAATGCTGGACTTAGGCAAAATTGAAAAGTATGATAACTCAGCAAATCGCAGCATTAAAACTAATGCTTATGTCAATGGTAACGGTGGCTTATACTCAAATCTTCCTCCATATCCAGGAACTTTAAAAAATTCTTCTAATAATAGCTCAAGTCAACAATCTGTTGAAAATACAACAAATAATAATAACAATTGCATTGCTAATAACAATAATTCTTCTTTGCAAACCTCACAAACTTCAGGCTATAGAACTTCTTCAGCACATGAAATCAATCGAAATCATTTACTTACACCTTCAACTGAAAATATAGCCAATTATTCATCCGATTCTCGTAGCTATCAAGATGATTGCGCATCAACTTCAACATTTCTTTCACCCACTGATGAACCAGAATTATACTTTGATAATTGGTCTATTTGTTCAGAAGATAATTATATGCTACATGCCACACCTTCACCAACAGTTTCACGTCTTTCACGTACCTCACAATTGTCATCACCAACACGTGGCGATGGTTCTGATCCTAACGAAAGCGTAATTGATCGCATTAAACGTCGCAGCTTCTATAGTCGTTTCAATGAAAAGAAACCAAAACGAACAAGTAGCATTGTCGGTCCTACAGCCGTACGTGATTTCTATCGAGAACAACAGGCTTCAGTTAAAGCACGCTCAAGTAGCAAATTAAATGCAGAAGAACGTGCAAAATCACCCGATATAGTAAAACAATTCTTTAGACCATTAAAATTGAGTCCTGTTGGAACGGAGCTTAAACCGCCAGTTTATAGATCACCACTTGACTATGCTTCAGCTAATAGTAAACCAAGAAAAAGTCTTAATGATATACGACCGGCAACGTCACCATCATTTCATACACCTAAACATTATGGTACTTCGACTGAAAGTAACTTTTTAACAACCATCAATTCTTCTTTACCTATGCGTTATAAATCATCTAGTAGCTCAAGTCCATATGAGGGTAGCAGTGGTACTACGCTAGGTGGCAGTAATTATTACAGCACATATAATCCAAAACGACGTTCATCGTATACACTGAATGGCACAATACCGACTGGTTCAAATATTACAACAAGTTCACATTTGGATGGTTATGCGACAGTTGGTAGACGTGCTATTCGACCATATGATCAGCGTACTTTATCACTTTTAGATCCACATACTAGTACTAGCTACAGACGAGACACACGTACACCTGTCAGAGAATATTCTTCCAGCATTTCAAGGTAAGCTGATTTAATTAATTACATTTGATCGTTATTAGAAATTAGTTTAACTGTATTTAAATGTTTATTATAATTTTTAACTAAATTAAAATTGTATTAATTTTAAATATAGATCGAATTCCCGATATCGTACTTCGTCCGTTTCACGTAGTCCAACAAATATTTGATGTACAACACCACAAAATGGTTTCTGCATATTTTGTTACTACACTCAAAGAAAACGCAGTAATACAGCATCTTCATCAGCTTCATCTCGAGGAAGCGGAAGTGCTAAAAAGTTGCAACAGTGTTCAAACCAAACCAAAAACAAATTTTAAATTAAGTTTTAGTTTAAGTTTGATATATGATTCTTATATTTAAAAATCAGTAGAGATAAACACATTTTATATAATATTATATTTTTATATTTTATTAATTTTTTTATGAAACTATGGGTTTATAGAAGTTTTTATTTTCATAAATATTTTTTTAAAATGTTTTTAAAATTAATAATAAACATTTAAAATAGTTGAAGTATATGTATGTGCCTTTGTTCCTTTTTAAAAGATTTATATATGCTTTATTTTAAAACCTGTACTTTAACATATGATCCTTTAAAGAATTTATAATTGGATTATATATATCGATCAATTTTACCTTTCATATATTTTGTTCTATAAATCTATAAAATAAATTATTAAAAATTTATTATATATATAATTTCAAATTATACCGACATAAAGTTGTACTCCTAAAGAAATGTAATATACCATATTTAGTTGATACGTTCTACGTTATGGACTTATTTACGATTCAATCCTCGCTGTTATGCCTTTAATAATATTCGTCTACCATTTATCTATTGTTATTTTCAATCGATATACCTATACTATTTTTGCTAAGTAAAAATAGATTACAAAGAACTGAAAATTGTAGTTTATAAGTTTAAAGATTGAACTATATATACATATATACAATATCACACATTTAGCATGGATTAATGTAGTATATTAAAGTAGGAAATGTAATTTAGTATTTAAGGTTTCTGAGACTTGCGCATTAAGACAAAAACCTTGAAATATAGGTAAACCTTGAAATATTGGTTAAATCAAAAATAAATGGTCTTAGAAAATATTTAAATAATTCATATATAATTTATTTAGTAATATTTATTTATATATTTCTTAGAAAATATATAATGTAAAATTACGAGTATATTACGAGAGTGAATAAGGACTACACATAATCATGTCTTGTCTAGCTCAGCACTGTTAGAAAGATTATGATTTGCAAAAGTAAACCGATCCGAATTTGGAAATTTAACCTAAAGTCATTGGATCGTTAAATTTTTTTTCATAGTTAAGTCGTTCTTCAAGATAGAAAAAAAATAGTTTAAATTGATATTGATATGATTAAATAATATTTAAATAATTTTTAAAATTTTTTAAAATAATAAAAATAAATAGTATCGTACTTCCTTCTGAAAGTAAAACAGAAATATCTGTTCACTTTAAAATCGAATGTCCTCTATAAAAATGTTATTTTAGGAGTCGAGTTCATTGATAGCTTCCAAATTTTATTTAAAAATGATAATAAAATAGTCTATTTTGAAATAATTTATTAAGTATATTTACATATATATGCTTTTGTATAGTTGGTTTATTAGTTAAATGCATAATAAGTGTAAAATTACATAAACTAATTTCTAGAGACTAGATTGAAATGTAGATGATACTTTTTCAATATTTGAAATAATTACCGAATTTATTTTTAATCTCAATGATGTCTTCAATGAAAATCTACATATTTTTTTATATAACTGATTTATTTCTCAAAAAAACTAAAAATATTGTTTAAAATAATATTAAAAACAAATGAATAATAAAAAAAAAACAAATTTAAAAAATTCAATAATTTTTATTATTAGACAACAACTAAAAAAAAACACAAAAAACAAATAGTCAAAATAGTTCAAAATTGATATTTAATCAAAGTTTTAGAAAAATATACATATAGACATCGAAAGAAAGAACATTAAATATAAAAATATTTAAAATCTATTTGTGTAGATATCGAAATAAATAACGAATGAAATACATATATACAAAACAGAGTGTGAAATTTTAAATTTAATTAATAAGAGACTTTTACAAAATGGAATTGTTTAAAAACAAAATAAAAATTGTTTGAATATATAATTAACACCAGTTAAAAAATACATAAATTTTTAACTATAAATAATTATAATAATATTATCTTTATGTTATGCAAATTGTTTTCAACTTACCTTAAAATCAGATTAAATTACAGTAGGTTTGTTATAATTAATGTTTAAGTGTAGATTTAGTAAATAATTCTAATAGTCTGCCAATACATATATATATCTATATATAAATATATATATATATATTAACGATAATAAGCAAAGCAAAATAATGTTTGTTAATGTTAAATTAAAATTTCATTAGTTTTAATTAGTATAAGTATTTTAACGATATATAATTAGGATTAATAAAAATATATAATCAAAACCATTTATAAAATTTTTTATTTTTAAATTTGACTTTCAATAATATATATATGTATATATCATATATTATATATTTTAAAAATATATCAGTGATCTCAAGACTGCTCCAATTAAAAAATACATAAAGGATAGTGTTATGAAATTATTTAATAAAACTGACAGGCTTACCAACACCGCGTTATCGAATCTCAGAATGGTTACAGGCTCCTCGGGGAGGTATGCAGATCTAAGGTCAATTATTGCTTAGTCTGATGAAGTGATAAACAATAATTTAGTTAAGGCGTAGAGAAGGGTTATGAATTAAGAAACATCGCAGTTAATAGAATGTAAAAGTGCTCAAGTGCACTGACTTAACTAGCCTCAACATAATAATATATTATATATATATATTATAATTTATTAAGTTCATCATTAAGTTCGAAGACATAACCAGCTTAACTGCAAAGTTAAGCTGCTCTGCTATAAGCAGCTTATTCGTCCTCTCCTCACTTACGCTTTCTCTATTTGGTCAGCCATCACTTCCGCTCAAATGGAAAGAATCCGCATGTTTGAGCGGAAACTTCTTCGCGATTGCACTAACTACAAGCGCAAGCGTAATGGCAAGCACTTCTCCATATCAACTCTCTACAACAATGCCAAGATCACTCGTGTTGACGAGTATCTTCTGTCACTCACCCGTAGGTATTTCACCCGGCTCCATGACCTTCCCCCCGACGTCTCTACTCCTCTCACTCTTTCAGAAGACCTCGTTCTAGCTTTGCGATATAAGCCCCCCCAATACCTAACACACTACTTCGATGAAGTGGACCATAACCTCTCCACTATCCCCTTATATAACCGCGGCTTTCGTGACCCTAGTCACAAAGTATACTGTTGATTCAACTCCCGCTAGTTAGCCGTAACCCCTTCCCCTTCCATATCGTCCTTTCTTTCTAGTTCATGCCCTTGCTTTCTGATTTAGATGAGTCTAGTTCACTAGGTATTAAATCTATTTTCTCATTCCTCTCTCCCATGATTACTGGAATGAAGTTTCCACATTGCTGTGGAAATCTTCTCCTTTCATTCCTAAGAGGTGGTTTTAGTGGGTTCAAATCTCAACTGTGGTTTTCGATGCTTTCCACTTACTACAAAAAAAAAAATAAGTTCATCATGAAACAACAACAACTTCATTATTCAGTTCATTCATCATACTTTGAACCCACGAACAGTTATTCAGTGACATCCATTTCATATTCTATAAGATTTACATTCTAGATCAGTGGTTCCCAATCGATAATCTGCCGAGACGGTTAAAAATTATCATTAAATCAAATTTAATATGTTTAAATATATAGCTTGTAGTTTGTCCACTGAGACGTCATATTTGGAAGTACAGTGGATATTGATTATTTAAATCTTTTTGTATGAGCTTTGAATTAGTTTTTAAGCCACCTCTGCCCTTTGGGTATTGTATGTCCCTTTATACTATTCTGCTGACAATATACGAAAGATACGAGTCTTTAACACCCGCATTTTAATTATAGATGTGGTATGTTATAAAATTGATGGAGCATATGGACCATCTACAAAATGTCAGTTGACGATCGAGAATATTGGTGAGAGTTTCTTTCTTAAATTTTATTAAAAATACTAATAACATATGCATAAAAATAAAAATAAATTGTTTCTATATCATTTAGGAAAAGTATTTCTAAAGCTAACTTTGTTTCTGCAACTTATATGTAGGTAGAAATGGTACATAGTAAGTCCATTTCCAACTGAAAATAAAATGAGAAAATTGTAAAAATAAGCATTTGAAAACTAATATCTATACTTACTTTCTCAGAGTTTCCATACCCGCTGGAAAATCGAAATCGGTAGCAGTACCATCATTAATATTATCATCACCCAAAGGCATTTCATTCGCCCACTCAATAAGACCCCTTTCTTCGGCAGTACCTATTAAAAATATTATTTTAAACAAAATGTTTCCAACAGAAAGTAGAACTCAGTTACCTGGTATAATATTATCGAGAAAACAACCTAATAAGCCACCAACTAATATAGTTGTACCTAATAATACAGATAAAGTTGAATCCAAAGTGTCATTTCCAGTTTTTATAGCACCAGGATGCTGTTGCATCCACCTGCACAACACCATGGGGAAAAACATAGATAAACCCAAAATGTATAAATTACGCGCTGAACGCAAATCAACATATTGTAATGTCGACAATCCAAAAGCCACAATCATACCAAACATAACACAAAATATGCCACCCACAACAGAGTCCGGTATCATAATGAATATAGCACCGAGCTTTCCTATAACACCTTGCAGTAACATAATGAGGGCAGCCCATTGTATAACACGACGTGAGCCAACCTTTATTTATAATATACATAGTTGTTGTTCAGTGAACTTGAATTGAATAGATATATCGTAGAAATAATTATAAATATATATAAAACATACCTTAGTTACACCTATTGCTCCAACGTTCTCGCCGAAAGTATTAGTACCATTACCAGCGCCCCAAAGACCTGCCAACACAGTACCCAAGCCTTCTGTGCCAATTCCACGGTTTATAGCATGCAATGGTGGTGATTGGGCACCTGATATAAAATTACTTTTATTTTCTTTTATTGTTCAATAATATTCAAAGTAGTTTATTTATATTTCACAGATATTTTATTGTGCATTTGACGAACAAACTTTTTTGCTTACCCGCCATTTGTGACACGGTTGGATAATAACTGATAGACTCAACTGTACATGCCAAAACGCCAGCTAACATACCCAAAACTCCAGATAAAGTAACTGAAGGTAAACCAAATTGACCGGGATAAGGTACATAGAACCATTTTGCGTTCGTTAATACTTTTAAACGAACATCAGTACGTGAGGGGTGCCCCTCTTCAAAGACATTTGTAAGCGTTAAAATGCCACAAAGTCCCCACATAATACCAATTGTTAATAACACCTATTGTTTATAAACATCGCATCCATTATAATTTATTAAATTTTTTTTATTACACTTACCGGAAATAGGCGGAAGAGTAAAAATTTTCGTATTTCAATACCATGTCCCTTTCTATAAACCGGAAACGGTACTGTAACATTTGCCATTACTTGCGAAAATAAAGTCAACATAGCTGTTGTACTTTAGTTTATGGTAACAAAAAATAATTAAAATAGATATAGAAAAATAAATATATTTTACTAACCCCACAGCAATTCCCCAATGCTTGGACGCCGTTTCAGCTGCATGTTCGAATAATGTTAATCCTACTAAAGAAACTGTTGGTACAATTGTTAACGGTGTAACAAACCGTAATATTTTTCCAACAAGACCCGTATAACCCAATATAACTTGCACCATAGCTGATACAGCTATAGCACCCGATAATTCGCGCATACGTATTTGCCAAAGTTCATTACGTTCACCCTCATCCATTGCATTAAATTCATTCTCTGGTGGGCATTTCCATTGCGGTAATGCCAGTATAGCTAACGTTGGCACCAAAAATGAAATAGTGCCACCTTGCACTATAGGCAGACGTACACCCCATGTTGCTTGTATATATGTAACTATACCGGTAACGAATATCATTGTGGAGATAATAACACCACGATTTGGATCCTCATCGGACATGCACAGCGCTGGTGTTAATATGAAAGGTATTGAAACAATGGCTCCAATCATTGTTAAATAGTGCTGTAGTGCTAGAAATATGCTGAGATACCATGGTGGATTATCATTTATTGCGTATAATAAGTTCGGTTTGGATCTTTCTTTTGTGTGGGGTTGTGGACTGGTTACTGTTTCCACAGGTTGTTTCTGAAATTGGTTCTTAAATATTAAAATTATTAAGTATAGAATTTATTAAAATTATATCAAAATCATATAAACAAATATATGTAATAATAATATTCTTTCTTTAATAACTTTTTTTATTTTTGTTTGTGGTTTTTAATTATCAATAAATTTCACTTAAAGTCAGAAATAGTTTAGTTCAATATTTAAACTCATTACAGTTAGTAATAAATTTAATTATAAAATAAAAATAGTTTTTATGCGATTGTTCAATAATATTTGAAATAAATTGAATGTCACTAATTGATATATATCCACGTAAAATAATAAAGAAGTCAGTGTTCCAATAATATTAAAGACCATTAGAAGCTTTATTTTAACTATTTATTCAAAGTAAAAATATATATTAAAATTAATTGAAATACTTTTGAAGTATAAAATAAAAATATCACCAACCATTCTATTGAATTTTAAGAAAATTGAAGAGTTCGAAGTAAACAATGGTATGAGCTTAATATAGCAGTGTTTGCACAATCTATTATAACTACGGTGATGTTAATAGTGCTTTAGTTAACATTCTCCTTGAGGTCTCCAGTAACTAGTTCATAGAGTTTCAACACTTACACATCGTTAATATGTTAGGTTAGGATAGGCAAGAGTGGCAGCCTTATAGACTAAAGAACACTTCAGCTCAAATAATGACCCGCTATAATACCATGGATTAGCTTTATACAAACGTAGACTAGAATGACCGCAGTGATCATCTCACAAACAACACTGAAAAGCACAACTTGTCCATTCAAGCGAAAGTAAACCAAAATGATTAGTCTTTAATTTGAAAGTATGACAGCTCCGTTAAGTCGGTAAGAAAAGAAACTCTAACTATTTTTAAACTTTTTGTGGGAATAAATATATTTTTTTTTTATTGAACAATATATCTTTATTAAATCGCTTTAAATTAAAGCCCAACAATAAGTTTTAGAATCTTAAAGACTAATAACATTACATTACAAATTATTTTATATAAACATACTATAATGATACATATAATGATTTGTAAATTATATCAAGGGGCCTCTGATAGCCAGGGCTTATCTACCAGATATCACGGTGTATAAGTTGAATTAATCAGGATGATCATTAGGAAAGTAGGATGGCGGGTCTATTGTTCCGTTTTAATCTAGAGGAAATAGTCATATTAGCAAAAGGTCTAGTCAGCGGATTCACATGGTTTTCAAGATTTGAAATATGTTTCTGCCTTATTCTTTCGAATTCGACTTTAACCATCGGAACTCTTAAATCGAAATGTATGTTTTCATTTCTGATATACCAGGGTGCAACAGTTATCATTCTTAAGATATTTGCTTGAGCTCTTTGCAGGATTTCTACATTTGACGAACAGACATTGCCATATAGCTGTAAGCCATACATCCAGATTGGCTTAATGACTTGATTGTATAACAAGTCTTTGTACTCTAAACATAAGGGAAATTGATGACCGATTAGCCAGCGAAGGCTTAAAGCTTTGAACTTCATTTGAGTCCTTTTTGTTGTAGAAAAAAATGAACATTAATAATGAAAGGTGAAACATGAATTCATTCTCCTCTTCAAAGCTACAACCATGACAAAAGTGATTATAGATAAGACCAAGTCTCATAGCGTTTCTTCCTAGTACGCAATGGCCTGTCAGTTTCGTTTTAGTTGAAATAGTTCGTTTCAGCTGACTATTAATGCTTTTGTCCAATGTGACCAGAAGGTTAGCGACAAATATTAATTAAATTATAATAAATATTTAAGTAATTTAGACTATTAGACTATATATTTAAGTAATCTAGTAACAAAAATCTACTGACATATACAATAAATACAATATGATTAATTTTAATATTAATTAATCAATTTATATTCCTAATAAGTAACAATATTTCATATCATATCTTCCGTTTTTTTTTAAATAATATACTCGTATAGTACTAAATATTCACTTGGTCAGTGAATATTTATCAGTCTTAGCTATAAATTCACTTAACAAATTAAGTTATAAAAAACTTGGCTAGTTAATAAATTAGTACATAATTATATATATTTATGCAAATAGTATTTGTTTAGTAACTGAATCTTATAAATAGACAGATACGTGTGATTAAAATTTGTCATTGCTGTAAATAATGAATGCACATATATAATTTATGTATATATTTAAAAAAGCACAGAGAGGGTTTTACTAGGTTCTTTTATAGAAATACAATATTTACAATATTTATATGTAAAATTTAATCAAATATGTAAAGTTTTTGCATTCTTATTATATATACAACAACTTACATATAAATTTTAAGTATTACTTTTAAAAAATAAAAAAAAAAAATACTTGGCGCTATAATTTAATTAATAGTTTCAATTAAACTATTTTTAAATGTGAGGTGTGGTAGTCTTAGATATAAAAATAAAAAACAATTTTTAATTATAATTTTTTATTTGTTTTATATTGTAATTTATAAAGCTCTTAAGGAATGATTTACTAACATTATCAATGATTCTGATTGCAAGACTTATTGCCCTACAAATAAAGACCAAAATAACAGCAGTTGAGAATATCCTAATATTATACGGGAATAAAAACTACCGGGCCTGTAATCTTATCATAGATCATCTCAATATGGGATAATCACAGATAATGTGATTAAAGATCCCATTTGTTTTTAAACACCTTCAACATTCTGTCTCCACAGACAGATCCGTCTGACTAAGACGGCAACGCTTTCGATTAATACACATTTCTGATTCAATTTATTCCACAATAAGGTTCCGGTTCACAAAACTAAATAATTGAGTTCTTACGAGATTGTTTGCTTACTCTTTGCTATAGAATCCTGTGTGACTAAATACTAGTGTGTTTGTTGACTTCCCAGTCATTACAACATATCAAACTAAATTTCTAAAATTCTCAAAGAAAATTTCTAAGAATTCAATGCTATGATTGATGTTTGCCTAACTACATAAAGTTGACTCGAGTGCAGACTTTTATCGCTTAAACTTCCGCTTGGAAGACAGTGGGCCATGTGGCCATAACCCGTACATTATTATGGATGTATACACATTCTGAGTGCAATTCTGATGTTAGGACCAAAGACCTCTGCATCAAGTCGTATAATTTTAAAATTTTCAGCATATCACCTAATTACATTCTGTCAGTATATCACCTATAACGTGAATAGGCTCTCAACCAAAAGTGCTATTCTTCTAATCCATATAAACGGAAAGGACGACTAACAACAAAGCCTAGTTTAGTTTTTTGTCAAAAATGTTCAAATTATTTTATTGCTAATAAATTACAAATAATTATTTATAACTAAAAGTAATAATATTTATATTAAATTAATATTTAATTTTAATTCTAAACACGTGGCAAATTATAATTATTTTTTAAATAAAATATAGAAAATACATTATAGAAAAATATATTAAATAAATTTTACTACTGTTTAAATGAAATGAATTTTTTCTCAAATAATTAAATTGATTTATATTTACCATATATATTAATTTTTATCAAAACAATCTGTATTACAGTTATAGATTGTAGTTCATTTTTAGGAATATTTAAATTAATATTAATTATTTCTGAAGTTATTCTTGTATGAAATAGGTAGCAATTAATTTTGTAATTAATAACTAAGTACAGGTTGTAAGGTGTAGACGGAAATCTCTCAATGAATTAATGAATTATTTTTGGTATAATTTCAATTGTTGTTAATTGTAGTTAATTTATTAATTAATGCCAAGAATGTAATATTTTATTAATTTGCGGTTAACGAATTCTTCTATTATTAAATTTTCTAATGATACATAGTTGTAGATATACATAAATTAATAAATATATAATTTAATTAAAATTTTACATGTTTTGAGTCACTATAATTAAATAGGGTTTTATTATATATTTAAGGATTTGAGTCGAATGCTGTATATAAATAGGTACACGTAAAAATTATTTATTATATCATATTGTTTATTCTAATTAGCTATAAGGCAATTATTTTTCACATGCCTAAATTTCAGTTCAAACATCTGAAAAACAATCGATGCTTGTTTCGTTATAACAATTTAACCATTACAAAATGAAAAAAAAAAATGTAAAAAAGCAATAACAAAAAATTAATACAAGTAAGGAGACACCTACACAGTCGCACCTACACCGTAAATGTATAAGATGGGGATTATGTGGTTGAAGATTGTTGAAGTAATAATAAGACTAATAAAAATGTTGATACTTCTATAAAACTTGACATCTTTCAATAGCCAATACAGGACATCAACAAAATTAAGTCCCTTAAGTCTATATTTTGAGTTGTTCTTCGCATATCTCTGCAATTATAAAAATCTAAAATCTAGGAAAGGAATGCAATCTGGACCAATAACGAAAAACGGATTTTATCACTTTGAAAGTACCAGATTCTAATGCACTACTATTTTATGATTTATTTTATTTGCATGATATTATTAAAGGAACAATGGTACTAATGTAATCCTCGAAGAACATTTTTTACGTTAAAGTGAACAAATTAAGGTGCTATGCTTCAGGATTCAGGTAAGAGTCGAATGGAAATAAGATGCGCAGAAGTATCATTCTGAGTTTTACATATTATATAGGTATTACGGTGTTATCCCACCTTCAAAATGTTTAGCAAAAGCATATACAGTTGAAGAAACAGTGATTAATCTAAGTTTAGATTTATTAAAACTTAAAAATTGCCATATATTTTTGATACCTTCGTATCCCTTTGCGTTAAAGTATCCGGACGTGTGTTCATATTAATTTTTTACAGTTACAACTCAATATTTAGTAGTTCAAGCTTAGAGCAATTTTGTATTATTTATATTTTATACTTACAATTATTTAATAAAATTATAAATTTAAATAATATCTCCTATTCGTATAAAGAAGTACCGTGTATAAAAAAAGGTTTATTTCAGACTACTTATTATACTCATACAGAGTGAGTATTACAGCACTTGCTATAAATTTTCTTCTA